TGCAAAAAAAAAAAAAAGAAGCAAAAGAAGGAAATCTGAAATTGTTAGAATTTTCGATTTTACAGTAATTATTCGTTTTATGTCAGAATTGTTAGAGATATGCAGTAAAAGCTATGTTTTGCAGATTTTATCGATTTCATTTTGATCTGGCCATCATGTTTCAGTCAAAGTATGTATGTTTGCAGTTTATTTATTTATGCAAATCATACTCCATGTCTTATATTGAGATAGTGTGGTTCGAAGTGTTTCAAACAGAAATATCACCTATCAGTTCCTTATAAGACTAATCTATTCGTTCACAGTATAAAAAGGCAGTGAGACCCCTCTTGGAAAAAGACTGTAGTGTATTCTTGATTCAGTTGGTCTTTGACAGAAGGATTACACTAGCACTTATGTTAAGTGTTGAACAGGACCACAGAAGGATAAAGCTATGAGACTCACTGATCGTTGTTGTAACCTAGACCTTCAGTGATTGATGCGTTCTCTTAAGGTGTAAGATAATATAAAATAGGCATATATATTTATCTCTTAATTATTTGATTTGCCAAGTGATTCTTATTTTATTAGGATGACATACAGAGTATTTTGGTAAGTAAGAATAATTATATGATGTGCTATTATAAATTATTTATGGTCACTATGTTCCAGTGCGTCGGATTAATGACGTCCCCGAAAAGAGCTCAAGAATGTACAATATGTTAAACTCTACAGGTAGACGATTGTCTGACATAATGGTTAAGGTTCTGAGTGGTACTAATTTCGAAAATGAATAAGAAGTTGATTAATTATTTTGTCAGTAATTTAATTAATCAACGGACGTTATATCTTAAACATAGGGAGGTAAATCGATAAATCGAATTAATATTATTTAATGATGGAGGCTCAATTTTATTGGTAAAATAGTGGCTAAATGGGGAGAGCAATAATATTATTCTAGTGGGATGTTTTATTATTTAATTCCATTAAATAGGAATTAATTTTATTCCATATTAATTAATTTAATTAGAAAAATAATATTCCTACTAGAATCTTCTCTTGGGATTAGGAGACTAAGGAGTCTTCTAGAAGATGAAGATTAGTAGGAGATATATTTCCTACATTAGATTATTAACTTGAGTAAGATTAGGTTTCCTAAATTAGGAATTAATATTATTTCAAGATTATTATTTTAATTAGGAAAGATATTCCTACTAGGTTCTTCTTTAGTGTTAGGAGACTAAGGAGTCTTCTAGAAAAGTTAGATTAGTAGGAAATCTCCTTCCTACATTAAATTAGTATTGAGTAGAATTAGGATTCTTAGGCCTAAGGGGATAAGCCCATGTTTAGCACCTCCTTAAGATCCCTAATGGAGCCTATAAATACACCAAGTCCCAACCTCTTGATGATAATTATGCTGACCGATTTTTCTCCTACATACACGCGAGAAATAGCAGTGTTTGAGAGTTAGGGAGATTCGATTAAACACGCCACCAAGTTTGATCGAAGTAGGTGTTTAGGTAATCCATTAAAAGGTTTTTTTGGTAAAATATATTGAGCCTTTATATTACATATTTTCCGGCCATCTTCCTCAGCCGTCCGCCGCCGCTGACCATCGTCGAAAATCGCCGCCGCTGCCGAAAGTCGCCCAGGCCCAGCCGATCGCAACCGCAAGCTACCGCTCGCAGTTGCGCCCCGCCAGGCCACGCCAGCGACGCCTGCTCGCACGCCCTCCGCGTCCCTGCTGCCCATCGCTGATCGCGAGTTCCCACCGCTCCTCACCGCTACGCGCGCGCCATTCCTCGCGCGACCAGGAGACATGTTCCGCACGCCCGCGTAGTCCCAGACGCGCACGCCCAGTGCGCCCAGGCCTAGAAGTGCTGCCCCGCACGCGTGCACCTTCCCAGCATGATAACTGATCGCGTTTCTGTCTATTGGTTGTGAATAATCCCGCACTCAGGGCCTTTGACTAAACACGATAGGTGTGATGAATAGACGCACTCAGGGCCTTCTCTTAGACACGGTTGTATGATAAACACGCATTCAGGGCCTTGTTAAACACACGATTGAACACAACGTTCTTTTCTATTCAACTCATCAATTCTGGACATTTAAAAACAATGAGGGAACACCCCTATTTATAGATCCTAACTTAGTCTAGTCCTAATCTTACTAGAGAATTTATTAAAGCAATAAAATATTTAAAGCCTAAACATATTATGTAATATCCCGACTTTTTATCAGTATAATAATATTTTAGTTCCGATATTATTTTTCGGAATTAATTATTTTCAGTTATTTCAGTCGAAATTGCCGGAAACTATTTTCGACGTACCATTTACGTTCGAAATAATTTTGGTAATTAAGCATTATGTTTAATTGGATAATTAAACATAATTAAGTGATTAATTTATACTAATCACGAGATTAGTAGTATTATTATGTTCGGATTTTTCAATCCCTTCCATGGCCGTGTGCTTCCATATATGTGTTAGTGTTAGTATAATTTTGTTCGGATATTAATCCAAGCTTGAGCTAATGGCCGTGCATTTATGTGTAAGTGTTAGAATTATTTTGGTCCATTTCATGTGCAAGAGCCGTGTGCTTAAGTGTGTGCATTGGAGTGTTAGTTTCGGTGCAATTTTCATGTTCATTGCCGTGTGCATGGGTGCATGTGTAGTCAAGAGATTCTTTTAACATCATGCTAGAAGACCGTGCAAACCATTTGTATTTTTGTGCATTGGTTGGTCCAAAAATCCGTGCCCCTTATTTGTATTCTTGTGCATGGGTGCTAGTAAGTTTTGTCCCTTTGGCCGTGCATGTGAGGAGCCTTGACCCAGCCCTTTTGTTGGCATTAGGCGTGAGTATTGATGCATGCATGCTACTTTCGGATTCTAGTGTGTTGTGTCCAAAATTTGAGGGCATGTGAGACAAATGTCCTAAGCATTTGACCATGACCTCTCACCCCTCAATGCATTCGGTTTTTATAAGTTATGCCTTGGGGAAATTTGTTCTATTTTCCCTTCTCCTTAGTTCATATCGCCGAGAGTATAGTGAGTGTTTGGAGTGAGTTCGGAGGGTTGTTCGAGAGCCTTTGCCGAGAGCCGCACGCATCGCCGTAGCCACGAGCCAACGCACGCACGCACGCGGAGGTCACAGCCAAGCACGAGAGTACGAGTGATTTAGCCTCTTGAGTTTTATAAGAGGTAAGTCCCGTCGTCATTT